TATATACGTGGTAGACTTAATCTTGAATAAATTTAATATTAGCCCTAAATTATTTTTGCCCTGCTCATGCCATAGCTAGGTATAACTATGGGGGCTAAGTTCTGGCCAATGGAATGAAAAATGGAAGTTTCACTTGTGACTCACAAGAGGTATGCATTTCTTTGGACTTCACCTTCCTTTTTCTTTTCTTTTCTTTTTTTTTTTTTTAAGATTTTTATTTATTTGACAGAGAGAGACTCAGCAAGAGAGGGAACACAAGCAGAGGGAAAGGGAGAAGCAGGCTTCCTGCCGAGCAGGGAGCCCGATGTGGGGCTCAATCTCAGGACCCTGAGATCATGACCTGAGCTGAAGGTAGACGCTTAACGACTGAGCCACACAGGCGCCCCTTCATCTTCCTTTCTATTGGCTGGAATATGGACCTGATGGCTGGAGCTTGACCAGCTATCTTAGATCATGAGGTGGAATTATGGGCGAAGGATTATGGAGAAATAAGACAAAAGGGGCTTGGGTCCCTGACACTGACCTGCCATATCTCTTGGACTCCTTTTTAAATAATAAAAATAGATTTGCACCTTGTTTTAGCCACTATTTTGAGTTCTGTCACTTGAAGCTAAACCTAATTCTAAGTGATAGAATTACCTACTATGGGCTTGGTCTTATAAACAGGCTTTATGTGCCTTATTTTACTTGATTGATACAACTCTCCAAAGTAGGAAATATTATCTTCATTTAAGCAACAAAGAAATGGAAGCTCAGCAATATACGTGACTGGTCCAATGTCATAGAGCCAGTAAGTAAAAAACCCTAAGCCTCTGCCATTCCAATTGCTACAACTATTGGGAGAGACAGACATTACAAAACATCTATGTTATAAACAGAACATAATACCTGGTGCCTAGAAGTTGCTGAAAACATTTGTTGGAACAATGAGTGAAATATAGAAAAAACAAAGCGTAATGAGCCACAGTAACAGAGGCAGAAACAAAGAGCCCTAAAAAACAATTCCTGCAAGGGCGCCTGGGTGGCTCAGTCAGTTAAGCATCTACGTTTGGCTCAGGTCATGATCTCAGGATCCTGGGATCAGGCTCCCCACGTCAGGCTCCCTTCTCAGTGGAGCCCACTTCTCCCTCTCCCTCTGCCCTTCACCCTGCTTGTGCTCTCTCTCTCTCCCAAATAAATAAATTAAAAAAAAAAAAGAAAAAGAACGGTTCCTGGGTCCTCTCCCTTCCCCAGTCTTGACCCTCTCCTCCCTCACCTGCATCTCTCTGACCTCTCCCGCTTCACACAGGCTTGGGTCTTCCACTTTACATTGAAACGGCCCTGTTACTCACCATCCAATCTTGCCTTTTTTAGTTCAGAATTTTGCTCCTTCTGCTTCCTAGTAGTCTCATTCACCCATGGGGAGCCACAGCTTCCCCCTAGTGTCCCAGGCTCTGGTGTCTGACCTCAGCCCTGTTAAGACCGTTCTCTACCAACTCACCAAACCTGTCTCAGCCTCAGGCTTCTGCATCTGGCACCCCCGCTGCTGATCCTTACTTCCCTTAGCCCTTTCTTCCCTCAGCTTCATGGTTGGTGTGCCTTTACATGCAGGCTCTCCTTTCCTTCTGGCCACTCTTTCTCCTTGGCCCCATTTGTCCTCCCCACATATGTGGTGGCCCTCTAAGTTTCTGTCCTTGACCTTGACTTCGGTAAATGGCGATAAATAACTGTGCCTCTTACACACACTATTTTATACCCTGATTTTTTTTGTTTTGGTCCAGTAATATGTTGTGACCATCCCTCCTTATAAAATAAGAATACTAGATCAACATGGCCATTTTTCTTGGCTGCAGAGCATGCACATACAAGAGCTTATTAAACCAATCACCTTTTTTTTAAAACATTTTTAAAAAATAGTTTATTTATTTATTTATTTAAGAGAGACAGAATGAGAGAGAGAGAGAGCACAAGATGGGGGAAGGTCAGAGGGAGAGGCAGACTCCCTGCTGAGCAGGGAGCCCGATGTGGGACTCGATCCCAGGGCTCCAGGATCATGACCTGAGCCGAAGGCAGTCGCTTAACCAACTGAGTCACCCAGGCTCCCCTCACTTTTTGATGAACATTTAGCCTAAACTGCATTTTTGTGGGGCTTGTTTTTGTGCGTGTGTGTGTGTGTGTGTGTGTATCATCATTTGGAAATAACTCAACTGTATCACTTTGCAAAATAAATCAGTTACCTATGTGTTCATTGTTTCCTTTCTCTCTCCTATGATGGCAGATGCCAATGGCTGTCTAGCCAACAGCTATTCACCCTTTCTCCCATGCTAACCGAATCCAGTGCTATTTTGGGTAATGAAGTGCCCAGCCAGTTCTGCTCTGGTCCAGGCACGGAAATCTCATTTCTCTTTGCCAGATATTTCCCGAGCTTCTTTTGCAGCCCGGATGTCCATGTAAGAGAGTTACAGGAGCAGGCAGAGAAGACATGAGAGAGATAAGGAGCAAACGAAGAAGGTGAGCTCTTCTCTAGAGAAAAAAGTGCCAGCTAATAAAGGGAGAATGGATGATGGAAGTAGAAAATCACGATTTTGCAACCCCAACTATTATCATTGGTTCAGGCAAAGACCATCAAAGCAATGCTAAAACCGCTGGGCAAAGGTTTGGGGACAGCAGATTCATTCAGTCTCAGAGAATCACACCACTTATTACAGACTAACTACCTAAAACAGGGGTCTTACAGTGGAGAGGTCTGGCAGAGACCATCTGTCTGGCTGACCCGACACTGAGTGTCTCCTGATGCAGTGCAGTGTGCACACACAACATCATCTATGAGGTGTTCTTGGCGAAAGGACCTTCCCTGAAACTTATCAAGCATCTAGTATCACCCCAATGTCCAGTTTACAAGAAATATAGGGTATTTTGAAATAAGTTAAATGATACCCTGAAGAAATAGTCAGAAAAATCCAGAATGTGGCTTGAGCGTTTCAAAAAAGTCTTTGTCAGGGCGCCTGGGTGGCGCAGTTGGTTAAGCGACTGCCTTCGGCTCAGGTC